AAATTAAAAAGAGGCATAAAATGAGCCCACCAAAAGCAAGCTTCTTCTCTTTCAAAAATTTTAAATCTTAGAAGAATTCATGTGTCACTTGATAATTTTCAAAGGCTTGATTTCAGAATTTATGATTGTAACTAATTACTTTGATATAATATTCTATAAAATATTTTTCTGAAACCGAGTCTTGAATGAATCTCTTTTTCTTATCCAATTAATTTTTTTGATTTAGATCCTTGTTTTTAAAAGATGGTTTTCCCTGGGAGAAGTCCGAGTTAGAGCTAATAGGATCAGTTATTCTACCATTTTTTCGGATTTTGATGATGTTAACTCATTGATTCTTACAAAATTTTTTAATTCAATCACATGAAGAATTTATTATATTCAAGCTTTGATTAAAAAAAAAATTGTTATGCTTTTGTTCTTATCTTTTTCATATTTTATACCTTTTTAAATTTATTTTCAAGTGTTTGGGCCTTCTTTGATCATCTCCATCCATTTTTTTATTTTGAAACTTTTTTATCACATTATCTCGAACGATATTCATATCGTCCCGGATGATTTTCATATCATTCTAGACGATCTATTTAATTCACTCTTGAAATTGCATCTAATGGCTATTTTGACTCCTCTGCTTCTGATTGTCCTAGACGATTCATTATCATCCTGGACGATCTAATCGTCTTATGTTTCAATTATTTATGATAATCCTAGACGATCCTCCTCATCCTAGATTATCTTCATAATCTCTGCTAAATTATTGGTGATCATCCCGAACGATACACATGTTTGTCTTAGATGATCCACATAACAATGCTTTAAAAATTTTTAAATTCGGCCAGTACGATCCATTATTGTGCATCATCCTGGATGATCTACCTAATCGACTAGGACGATCTTCTTTTTTAATTGTCATACGGCTTGACTCCTTGAGATGATTGGCTGTCTTATCATCCAGGATGATATCTGATCGTCCTGGATGACTTTGCCACCTTTTTGACCAATCGTCCTAGACGCAATTATTTCACCCGATTGGCCTGGATGATCAGATTGTTTCTTTATAAATTGAGTCATTCAATTAGTTTTTCTCACACAATTCCTCTTTAACCCTCTTTTGCTCTTTCTTCCCTTCTATTTTCCTGAGTATGGACGATGGAAAGAGGTTTCTCCATCCTTCTTGGAGTTCCTCGAGTGTGAATCTGGACCCTCGCTTCACTGAGGTGTATGATCAAGCCACTTATCAAAGGTACAAAATAGCCAGGATTACTATATCCCAGACTGTCAACCCTAATATTCTTTCCTATAATGTCCTAGATTTGTTTACGCACACTTCCTTGACCTTCCTTCTTACTCTCTCTGTCCCTTTCAATTCGGAATTACTTTTTAAATATTTTTCTAGCCTTCAATAAATTTTTCTTTCACTACTCTCTAGTCATATGTGAATAGACATCCCATCAAAATCACATATCAGGACTGTCAAGAGCTTTTGCAACTTTCCACTATAGGGGACAAACTCAAAACCTTGTGTTTTGATCCTGACTAGAATTGGGCTCTAGCCAACCACTTTCTTAGAAACACTAATACTCACTTTCACATTAGAGATTCTAGCACCTTACTCAAAGATGCTAGAACAATCCAGCATGTCCTTTTTCTTCTAAAAGCTGGTGATCACGTTCATATCAATCCTTTTCTTTCGATCACCACTTTTTACATTTTGGCTCGTCATGAATTCAACGTTGTTAAGAGAGTTGCTATTTGCATGTTTTACATTCTTGCAATTTGTATAGTTTTGATGATTCCAAATATTATTGTTTTAAGTATCATATTCTCCTAACACTTTTTGGAAGAAATGTTTTTGCTCTTGTGTGAACTAACATTTTAGGAAAATCGAACTCCAGACTAAAGAAGTCTTCAAATCGAATTCATCATGAGATAGTTTGTAAATTGAAGTTTGTATTTTTCATTGTATTGAGTTTGAGAGAGTATGATTGTAATTTTTTTTTTGAAAATGAAATAAGAAACTTTTTATTCACAAACTACTTACAAGAAAATTCCTCCTTCAACAATTCTAGAAAATAAGGAGGAACTTTATCCCTAGAGAAATCATCCCAATAGAAGGATGAAAATAGAGTATAGTTTGCACAAAAATCAGCTAACTTATTACTATTTCTATTAGCAAAAGAAAAAAAAATGAAATGCTTAAAATTAGAAAGAAAAATTAAATCCTTAGGCTTTAGAAATTCTTCATTAAACACCGGCTTTGTGAAGGAGTTTTGAAAGATCTTAATGACATTCAAGTTGTCACCCTCAATCACAATGCCTTTAACTTCAAGCATCCAATCTTGAATACAATCTCTCAATGCCATAATTACAAATAACTCCAATTACGAGCAATCCCAATGAAGACATTGAAATGCGAAAGCAGCTAAACCACAGCCTTTACAATCCCTGAAAACTCCTCCAATGCCGGCTTTGTTATTAGGAAGAACTGAAGCATCTATATTCACCTTGATCCAACCCGGAGGAGGAGGATGCCAAGAAGAATGAGACAGCTTAAACAGCTGATTAGCATCCCAATTTTCTTGGATTAAACAAGAATAAAAAGATGATACAGTCTGAATAATGGATTTTGAAGCTATAGTAGAACAACTGTCATTCGTCCCTTCATGAACTATTTTATTTCTACTTTTCCAACAATAGAATACCACAGAGCAAAGCAGATTTCCAATGAACAAATTAGATATAGCCAATTTATTTAGTAACTGGTAACATCCAACTAATGAATCAAATGCTGGAATAATAAAATGCCAATCAGCAAGCATTTCCAATACCCTTTTAATAAAATAACATTTTGAAACCACGTGCTCTGTATCTTCCATCACCTTACAACCTCTCGGGCAACCTCCAAACTCAGCAAGCCTCCTATACAAAAGAAATCCAAACGTAGGGATAACATTCCTGCATAATCTCCACCAAAAC